CAGGGCTACTACTTTCAAGGACGAGGAGGTACGAAGACCTCGAGTCACGATCGGCTTTGGTTTATTACTCACTAAAGTGTTTTAAAAAAGAAAAAGAAGAACAAGAAGAAGTAGAGGATTTCGTTTATTTATTAACTTAAGAGTGTTCATTTTCAATCTTAAATAAATATCTTTCAATATTTTTATTATTATGAAATATTAAATGTCGTAATAAATAACGTGGATGGATTGAAAAGATTTTAATTTGACGTAGAAATTATTTTGTGAGAACACATTCAATCTTAAATAAATATTTTAACATAGTTTTATAATTATTAAATATTAAATGTCGTAAAATAAATAACGTGGGTGGATTGACAAATTTTTAATTAGATGTAGAAATAATTTTATTTCATTTTTTTGGGGAGGGTGTCTAATTTTTATTTTTATTTTTCAATGTAGTTTCAAAACTCTTCAAAATCCACCTTTCCTATTACAGTATTGTTATAATTATATAATAATTACATAGAAATGTTAAATACATAATAAGAATAAAAATTATTCTATATATATTTATGTAAGTTAATAGTTACGTTATTAGAGTTATATAGACGTTTTTAATTAACCTAATTCATATTTATACCTCTATAATCATACTTTCATATTATAGCTATTATAATTTCCTTTTACTTGCACGTTATATATACATATGTTGTCCCATTGCATGCTGATAATTTATTATCCAATAATAACCTTTAAACAAACAAAACAAATAGAAATAAAATAAAGAAACCGAAATTATATTCGACGAATAAAAGTGATTTCAATTAGATCTCAATTCTTAGATTAAAAAAAAAATAAATAGAACAGAAAACTCAAAGACACCAAACACCACCATCTCCACCACTAATAAAACCACAACCATTAGTACCCCACCATTGACATTATCATTTCGGTAACGTTGATACAATTGATGATACATCTCGTGTGATGGTTTGCGAAACGAGTATCGTTGTTCAACGATAAAATGTCTCATCCGGTTTAGTTTAGAAGAGTACATATAAAAGGATCAATGATGGGTACTCTAACCGTTCATCATCATCATCATCATCATCATCATCGTCTTCTTCGTGGTCATCGTTGTTGTCATCGTCATCGTTATCATTGTTGTTGTTCATTGTCAGTTGCCGTCTACATACAACGAACGAACGAACGAACGAACGAACGAAAAAAAGAACCAGAAAGAATACGCGAGGTCAAATCTGTCGAGTGAAAACTAACCCAGGGGGTTTCAATTATCCCAATAAATTCGCTGGGTACATGGTTGAACAATAACGCGTTCATTGATTAGCCTCCTCTCTATTATTATTATGAAAGAGTATGAGAGAGAAAGAGATAGACTAAAGGAGAATGCATGCATGTAATTTTCATAGTCCGTGAAATTAGGTACGTTAATTATCAACAGATGCAATTCTATTCTTATTATTATTATTATTATTATGGTTATTATTATAGTACTCTCCCAAATACTCGTATTTTCACGAGTTTACTGCAACCAACTATTCCAACTTTACAAACCACCCTTCCCTTTACCCCCTACCCCCTACCCCCGTTTCTTTTAGCATTTTCGCTTCGTTTCCTAATCAAGTTGGCACCGTTCTCTATTTTTTCTTTTTTTTTTACAGCCCACGTGGCGCTTATGGGGCGAGGAAAGGGGCGATGGCGTCATATATACTGTCTATTTGAAGAAAGTTCGTTATCACAGACCTACGAGAAGCCTTTCCGCATCGGTAAGTTTAATTCTTTTTCTTTTTTATTGTCACATTTTTCATTTTCTTTTAATTAAAACTACGTTCCAATTATTACGGATTTTTATTCAAAAAGTTTTTTTCCACCTTTTTTTTTTTTTTTTTGAAGTTTTATAATATTTAATATATTGTACATATGTACATGTATTACACAAATTATACATAATATTAAACCATCAGGAT